GTGCGGTGACATCAAACGACAGCATGATTTTATCTCCTTCTACCAGCAGACAAAGGACGCATGGCAGTAATAATGGATTAACCAGGTTATGCTGCAAACGTCACACAACTCCTTTCCGACACGACCACATATCGCCCTATAGATCAGAACCGCAGTACGAAACTGGTTACTCAAATCAACACAGTATTGAAGTAACTACAGGCAACGAGTGAGATTAACAAGCAGGAGCGATGGAAGGTGAAAGCTGAGGATACAAACATTGCAAGGTTCTATGGACTGCCAAAGGTACACAAGGACGGAGTCTTATTGCGTCCAATTGTTGACAGGAACCGCATTGTACACATTGGCAAAGTGCATGTGAAAGAAATAAAAAAGCTAATTGCAGGATCTGAACAAAGCATCCTCAATGCTGAACTATTCTTCAACAAACTGAGGAGTGTTACGATAGAAAAAGATAAAATCATGCTGTCGTTTGATGTCACCGCACTCTTCACGTCGATCGGTCACGAACTTGCACAAGGAACCATAATGGAATTCATTCGAAGTGAACCGAACCCAATAGTAAACCTCAAGCCGGAGAGCATATGGGAACTCTTGGACCTCTGCATGACTACTTATTGGTACTTTGATGGGCAAGTATACCAGCAACTGAAAGGAACTCCCATGGGATCGCCCATCTCAGGACTTATTGCAGAAGCTGTGATGCAAAAACTAGAGAGTATCACAATACCGTTAATCAAACCAAAATTATGGATCCGGTACGTTTGTCATCATCAAACGAGATTCGATGCAAAATACCCATCAGCTAATCGACAACACATTCCAGGATATCAAGTTTACTATTGAACTCGAAAAAGACAACCAATTCCAATTCTTCGACGTACTGGTCCACAGAAACACTGACGGAACGCTTCAAACATGTGTATCTCGAAAGAAGACCCACACAGAACAAATATTAAGCTAGCACAGCAATCATCCACTGAACCACAATAAAACATGCATTCAAAGCCTTTTCAGAAGGGCAGAAACACACTGCAGCATGACAGAATTGAGGAATAAGGAAGTGAACCATTTATACCGGGTATTGCAAAACAACGGGTATCCAAGAAGCTTCATCAGAAGAAGTCTAAAGAAGGGAGTGCCTCAACAATAGCGGGGAAACGTAGATAAACGGGTAGCGCTTCCTTACACCAAGAATGTGTCTGAACTAACATCAAGATTGCTACGACCACAGAGTATCTTGGTAGCCCACAAACCAACTGGTACTTTGGGAACCTTGCTTCAAAGACCGAAGCACAAAGTCAAACAAGGCAGTCAGAATGATGTCATCCACAAAATTAACTGCAAAGAGTGTGACAAACACTACATTGGGCAAACTGGAAGGAAACTTTCAACACGGATCAACGAACACATGGTGGCCATACGGAGACCCTCCCCGCATCCACTGCTTTCCATGCATGAAGACCAAGAAGGCCAACACTTCAACCTAGAGAACGTAAAGACCCTAGCCCGTGGAAATTAGATACAAGTTAGAGAATTCTTAGAAGCATGGTATTCTACAGACAATTCCATAAACCGACGTGTTGATGCTATATTCGCAGCGCTCCGGATGAAAGATCATCGAATTAGATTTAATCTGACGGAACAGAATGCCGGACAAATGTGTCAAACGATGACGACAACCGAAGTGGCACGCGCGCGTACGCTACGAGGAAAGAATCAGAGATCAATTTCGATGGTCATGTGCTCGTCGAACGACCCAAGCTCAGACTGACGGCTAGAAGATCGATCACTCACACTCACTGATGCTTCGTACCGCGCCTCTCTGCTATAAGAACGCGCACTGACGAAGTCACCTCGGGGAGTGACGAAACGTTTGCAGCCAAACTGCCGAGCTCAGTGAACACTCAGACCACCAACAACCTGAGCTACCAATATTTGCTTCCATATCACATTTTTGGTATTTACCTTACCACCTTTCACAAACTGTGTACTTCATTTGTGCTCGCCAACACTCATGTCCAACGTATTCAATCAGTTATTTTCTCGCCTCCGCCCCTACAGTGGCCTACAGACCAGCAAATACAAACTTATGAATGCCCTTTAGCCTGGTTCTCATTTGGTGCAGAGCAGCCTGGCACAAGATACTGTTCTACATCAACTGCACGTGACGCGTGTTTAATCGAACCACGCTGCCTACTGACGGTGTAACGAGCCGGTCGTATCACGGTGTTAGCCCATGTTGAGACGGCCACATCGAGTGCATGTGGGGTCAGTCAGACCGATGGTGCAATGCAACCTGTCACACGTGACACATACATTTCGGCCACAATCTAACATGGACCCACGTCTCACAGCGTGCAATGCGTCCAATGCTTAAACCTGTGAGCACGCACACGACACCTCATCTACAAGATCAGTAGCCTCAACTGCCGCGCATCCTGGTGCACACGTACCCATCAACCTTTCGACCGCTGGGCCCCGGCCGGACGGCATGCGTTTGATCACGCGTGCGCCTCCCAGTATAACCATTCGTTGCTGATTTTGAGCGTTGAGTGCAGCTAGACGCAACCCTGGATGCGATCAGTCTACTCCGCATACTACGATACGCACTCGCGGGTCTGAGATTTAACCTCATACTGGCACTCCCCCGTGCATGCACCTCCCCTATGCTATTGGTTGACTAGGTCCGGCCACTCCAGGAACAGTACTGCCTCCGTCCCTATCTGCAGGTCGGATGTAACCCGATCAGACGCGACCTAATTCATGTGACTCACGGGGGAACATAATTTCTTGCGGTAGTGCACTCACGTGCCCGGATGGTAGCCGACACGTCCACTGAGCGAACACTTAACGTGGAACATTTCATGCCGTCTAGTCCACCAGGGGAGTTTTCACCCTGGTCACACATGCTATCGACATGATCGAAAAATAATTTGATAACGGCAGAACAACTGCAAAAATGCTCAATGAAGAACATAACCTCACTGACAAAATTTACCAGTCCGTTCATGGATAATAACGTATTGAACAACTATAAATAGGGAATGATCGACGAACCATAGGACCTTGTGCGGACATATACTGCTCTATACTTTTGCCTAATTGACGATGTAAATATGCAATTGGAGAGTCCACTATGAAGAGCACGGCTAATGTCCGTATGTATTTTGGTAGCAGTTTTAGCGTATTAATTCGCGTGCACATCACATATGAATCATATCTGGTTTGGAATAGGCTAGGAAGGAAACCTCTAAGCCTACAACCGAGGCGCCCATCACCGTTGCGGAGCCAAGGCATGACAGGCGAGCCAAACTCGTCCGCACTGATTGGGGCGAACAGATAGCCAACCGGGTGAAGCGGCCAATTAACGCGAGGGTGGCATTACTTGATTGACCGTAAACTGAGCTTTCTAGAGTTTTCCACGTGAGCTTTAACTACCATTCAGGAACTCTCGATTTTATCTTTATAATGAACGGTGTGATTGGCTAATACAACCCTGTTCATATGCTCATCCGGTCCGGTCTTCTCTCTTCTGTGGGGGTCCGTCGACCTGGAATTCCGATTGAGAAGTAAGTGCCAATTCAGGCGAGGGACGATCACTTCAGGATGGCACTGCAGTGACATAATTTCTTCAGTGACCTGTCAAACGTTAGAAATGCTTACGTAGTAGGTCTTAAAAAAGCACAGGACAGCAATAAGTCCAGTGCTGCGAAATACATTCAGTCATGATCTTTAGAATTAGATCTTAGGATCCCAATCAAGCTATGTAAAACGAAAGTCGCCTGACTTTGGTGAACATTTGATACAGCTGGAGTGGCCACGATGAATCGTGGCTCAGTGCAGCTCCGAGATACTACACTAACGTACGGAATCTCAAGGTGTCGCTTTTAATCTGAGGCTTGGGAAATTTCATGACAAGTTCCTGGTAATAAACTCCATATAGCAACGGGAGTTCGGCCATTGAACTAACTCATCCAGAGAACCTTGCAGCTTGGTTGAGAAGACCGATGTTTGATTCCCGACGATGATAACATATTTAGCATATTATAACAAAATAGCTTCTTCCGGGACAAGTATAGAACAAGTATGGTGACATAATAGCTCCTTGAAGGCCACCGGATGTTGTGGTAAGTGGTGAGGAGCATTTGCCGTCAAACCTAGTGACCTGGATACGTTTAGCGAAATAATTATTTATCGTGAAGACTAGGAAAGGTTAAATACCAGATGTCTGCAGATCTTGCAACAGTTATTTACGGTTAACACAGCCGAAATCGTTGCTGTAGTAGGACTGAAGTGGTTTTGTTCACTGTCTAACGACGACAAGACTGAATGCATTGGGCAGGCCACTGCGTCTTGAATCGATCTTGTAATTCTCTAAACAAACGATTATGGGCCCATGAGTGAACATGCGTAAGCGAGAAACGCGTTGTGTGCCAGCTCACATGGAATGAAGCAACGCAAAGGATTCGCTACTCAGTTAACCACAAAAGCGGCGTGTCACTTTGTGCTCAATGTACTGTTGTCGAAGCCCACCTTGAGTTCGGCGTTTTCGGAGGGCTAAGCAACACTGCTGCTTTCCGAAGCCCAACCACAATATGACATCCCTAGACTCGAACAACTTAAACCTTCCGAGCAATACTAATGTCCAAGACGCATTTGGAACAACGTATAGTTTCGGCCTGTCAACTGGAACAGTTTTCAAATATTACTCTTATCAACCATGTTAGATAACACATGTATTTGTTTGCACTTTGTCACTTATACTGCGCCACCGTAAGACAAATCTGTAAACACCCCTAGTCGAATATTGTAATGTACATGCACCGAAAGCTGGGCTAGCAATAAGCACCTTACTATTGTCGCATGAAGTATGAAAAGGGACTACACTTTACACCTTTTCTCAAGCTGTGATCCAATTTTCAAATGTTAACTGATGGCTACTTTGCTTGCTATATACCAGTGTTTCAGTAACCGAAACGCTTGTTCACTTTCCATAGTCTGGCCATTATTGGAACGTTACTGGCCCGAACTGCTTACCGTGTGACTGTGGGATCGGCACTAAACTCAGTGACACTCTCGAGCCGGTAGCCGATTGTAACATGCAGTCCGGGCAATGCAAGTGCGCCCCACATGTGACCGGTCGAAGATGCACCGAATGTGAGCCCGGCTTCTACGGCGTATCCGCAGAAGGATGTCTGCGTAAGTGAGGCGCCTCTGCCACTGCGTGCTGTTTTTCTTGTTTCACACATAACACTCCCCCCACTTCCCCACCTCAGTTCCCATCATTGGCACTAAGCTGTGAGATAAGTTGTCAAGCGACATCAGTACTTTTGCCCGGTCCTATTTGTGCCTCATGCTGAGGCTGCTGTTGCATAATTAATAAATAAATAAACAAATAAATACTAAGGTGTCAGCTGTACGCCGTAACGGCGCTCCGCTACCGAGCGGACACCAGCAGTCGCACGCGGACTGAGTGCACCGCGAGGGCGCCCACTCCTACGCGGATTCAACATCGCGCCGCAAGATTAGGAGACAAGCTCGTTACCTGTAGGCTACGGGCCGACATTGCGTACATCATACTTTTTCACCGCAGTTGGGGTACGCCGACTTACAGTTAGGTTATATCTTCTTAATCTGAATAAAAAGCATTTATTTGCTCAGTTCTGTTATTCTGCTACTTATTCTATGTGAATTTTGCGCATTTATTTTCCTTTTAATTCTACGCTAGTTGTTCGTTTATCCCCAGTGTGGCTGCGCTTGCTGTGAATGTTGACAAGGTGCCCACCTGTCTAACACCTTCCACCTCGATTACTGGTTCCAGGAGACGGTGAATCCTTGCTGGGGGAAAAGGGTGCGCGGTCCTCGTAGCCGTGCTACGCTCAAAGAGTGGTTCCATGCATCTAATGTGAAGCGGACTACGCCCAGCTACCGCGTTGTGAATGTCTGGTACGTATGACTCCCAGTTTAGATTGACAGGAAAGTTGCTGCTACTGTACAAACCACTCAGGGTCTCTCTGTTGACGCATGCGTCGGGTGGCTGTCTTGTGGAGACCACAGTGACAGACAAATGGTGAGCCGGATGTCACCAAACACTTGCTTCGGTTGTGCCTCTACGGACGTTTCAACTTGGATTATGCGTGGCTATACTTTAATCTTCCGTGGTCCATCCAGACTGTGCTAGGAACTTGTTACGTATGCGTGTGTACGTGTGTGCTATGGCTTATTGACTGGCGATAATGATGGTTCAGCGACGGCGTGATTCACCACAAATTATGCTTTAACTGTCCCCCTCTTTTTGTGGGGCGTTGTTATTTGGCCTTTACACAAATATCCCTTTTACCATACAGCCGTGTTTTCTAACCTCGTATTGGCAAAACATACTTCATACTCACGAAGCCAAATAGGTCAGCATAAACAACACACATTTTCTGTAGTGTAACCATCAGGCAACTGGTGCTTCACGTTGGATGAATAAGAATTCGGTTGTAATTATCGTACTTCATGCATGGCTTTGGATACACTCTGGATACACTATACGTTGATGTTTTACTTTTAACTGGTACGTCGATCATCTTCCTCATTATACACGTCAGCTAGAGGTGGGAAACACCTCAGCTACTGTGCCGCAATACATAAAAGAAAAAGGAACATAAATACAAAAGGTTGCATACCAGCTGAGCTACCAGCAACGGATAGACACCGTTCCGGTAAGCTAACAGCTAGCTACTAGGCAAAAAGAAAAAATTATTATGTTTTAAGCTAAGAAATGAGATCGTAGATGGAGGGAGAGGCTAAATGGGATGGGGAGGGACAAAGGAACTCACAGCACAAACGCCACTGAGGTCGGCTCCTTGCCATGTCAGCTCGTATATCCAGCCAAACGTGTTCACCGTCTTTTGGACCCCAACCACGGAGACGTGACGCTCCAACCGAGGCCAGATCCGAAGTGCGGACCTTCATTCCTCTTGGCCAAGTCATCGTTTGGCCATCCCTCCTCTTCTTCCATCCACATCCCCGGTGAGCAAACAACGCACGTCGAGGGAGTCGGTGGGTTGGCATGCGTAACACGTGGCCGAGCCATCGGAGCCTGGTGCGTGAAATGACGGTGCTGAGCGGTTCAGTTCTTTTTCCTGTTCCATAAACAAGACGTCGAACACGCTCGTTACTCATGCGGTATGCACACCAGATGTGAGCCAAACTGCGAAGGCACCGATGGTCGAACGTAACTAGCCTCTTCATGTCCACCGATCTTAGGGGCCAGGTTTCGCAACCGTACAGTAAGGTCGAACGTACCGCTGCGTTGTACACTCTACCCTTTATGGCGACAGTGATGTCGCACCGCCGCCATAGGTAGCGAAGGTTAGCAAAGGCACTTCGAGCTTTCGCCATACGGTTCGTGATCTCGTCTTCGATCCCAAGGGCACTGATACAACTTCCCAGGTAGCTGAATTTCCGAACGACTTCTAGCTGATCCCCACCAAGGGTCAGCGCAGGAGGCGATCCCTGGCAATCTTGGAGGAACGCTTTGCACTTCGATGGTGCAAATCAAAGCCCGAAGCGGCTGACAGCCAGTGCTAATCTGTCCAGCGCGGCTTGGCACGTCTGGGAGCTGTCACAGATGAGGGCAATGTCGTCTGCATACTCAAAGTCAAGAAGTCGTTCTTCTGGGAGTAGCTCCACACCTTCCAATTCATGTCCTGTAAATGCGATCTCCTTGACTTCCTCAATAGCGAAATTGAAGAGGAAAGGTGACAGCGGGCATCCTTGTCACACACCGCTGGAGATATTGAAGGGTAGCGACAGCCTGCCGTAAGCCCTCACTCTGCTCGTGCCTCGCGCGTATAATACTTGGATAATATTTACATATTTCTCGAGAATACACCTTTCTTGAGTAGACAGTCCCAAAGGACACAGCGATCAACCGAATCGAAGGCACTTTTGATGTAGAGGAACACTACTACGGTGGGCCGCCAATATGTGTGACGGTGCTCCAACAACTGACGCAAGGTGAAGATGTGGTCGATGCAGCCACGACCCAGACGAAACCCGGCTTGCTCCTCACGAATCTGGCTTTCACGAGCGCCAGTCAGTCTGTGAAGGATTATGGAGGCGAATTATTTGGAGGCGATGGAGATCAGACTGATTCCTTTATGGTTGACGCATTCCGAACGTGAGCCTCCTTTGAGGATCGGAACAATAACGGAGCGGCTCCAGTCGGTTGGGACAGTGTGCTGCTCCCACAGTTTCACTAGTAATTCATGTAAAGCATCAACAAGTTCAGAGCCCCCGAGTTTGAAGAGGGCTGGAGGAAGATCATCTGGTCACGGGGTTTTGTTCAACTTCAGCAGTCCGATCTCACGTTCGACTTCTAAACGAGAGGGCGGATCCAAAGGGACAGCCCAGGGAGCAGGGCGATCACTGGCCGGCGAAGAATCGAACAATTCTAACCGATTAAATTGCTTTTCAAAATGCTCAGCCCAATGCTCCAAGCTTTTTGACAAATTGTAGATATGCTGTCCACTCTCGTCACGTATAGTTTCACTGACACCAGGTCTCCTGCTGCCCGTTTCCTGTATCAGAAGGAATAACTTACGATGGTTACCAAGGGCCCCGACCACTTCCATCTCTGTTGCACGATTAGACCACCAACATTCACGGTCTCTTTTCAGGCTAGCACAGAGTCTTGCCCGGAGCTCTTTTCGAGTTTCATTGTGTTCGCTTCCAGCCGGGATATGCCGGCGAGCATCGATAAGTTCTAGAGACCGCGAAGAGATCCAATGTCCATGTTGGCGATTAGACTTACACATAAGGTTTTGACTGCTGCTAGTAAGGTACGGTGAATATGCGACCAGTGGCCTTCACTTGTCGCCAGTGAGCGAGTACTCAACTCGCATGTCAGTGTACTTCGATACGCATTCAGAACAGCTGGCTTTGTCAGTTGGCTGGTGTCAATGCGCTCACAGCGTCGTCGTGGGTGTCCGCCAAAGCGCATCCGCATGTCAGCACATACAAGTGCATGATCAGTGTCCACACATGTGCTCCAAGTCGAGCGACAATTCTGGATGCAGCCTCTCCAGCGGTAACTGATAGCAATGTGATCGATCTGCGTCCAATGCTGGTTCGAGGCTGTTGGGCGCCAAGTCACCCTCCGGCGGGTGCTGTGTCGGAAATTAGTGCTTGCAAAAAATAAGCGAGCATCTTCACACAAATGAAGTAACCGCTCACCGTTATCATTATGGGAGCCTACGCCGTGTTGACCGCCCAAATGCATTTCATCAGTGGACAACTTTCCAACTTGGGCGTTCAAATCCCCAATCAGCACAACAGTGTCCGTGCTTCTTCTGTGGCGAAGGAGCAGGGTCTGTTGGCGGTAAAAGTCGTTCTTTACCGAATCATCGCTACAGTTTGTGGGTACGTAGGCAGCGATGATGAATAGACACCTATTAGTTCCGCGCGACTTCGAAGCTTTGGACGAGCCAGCCAATCGGACCGCACACATCCGGCTACTGATTGGAATCCAATCAACCAGAGCAGCTTCAGCCCGGGGACCCAGGGCAATGCCAACGCCAGCTTGGCCGGTGCTCGAAGCTACATCATCACCGGATAGGCGCAATGAGAAAACACTGCTTGCGTCTAACAGAGACGCAAGCGGAGCTAAAGTTGGGTATCGACTGAGAATTGATCGGCCAGCAATTACCAGTCCGCGTAAACTGAATCAAACTATACCGTCAATATGATAAACCCGTGGAGTGGAACTCCCTCACACTGGCTGAAAATCGGACGCACAAAAATGTGCGTTCTTGACCTCCTAAATTAGCATGTTTCGGCTACCTATAAATACAGTTAACTTATGGTGTAGATATACTCCCTGTTTACCGAGCCTTGGTCTTCTGCATTCCGTCGGTTGGTTGGGCGCGTGACTGAGAAGTCAGACAGTCGCAGTCTCATAGGGCAGCTAGAAACAGTACAACAGTCGTCAGTGGCAGAGAGCAGAGGTAAGAAGAAGCGTTACAACAGTGAAGAAGAAGCGTTACAACATCGTCACCTGAAGGGGATCGCAGAGTGAGCACAGATCTCTAGTCTTGCAGGCGGGACTCTGATAAGCAGCCGATATCGATCGAGGGGTCTCCAATGGTCGGGCAAGTGCTGCCTGTTGACCGATATGTAGTAACTGAGGCATGCCAATCTGAAGTAGGATCGAGGGCTTCAAAAGCAAGCCGATGAACTGGAATTGGCCGCTTGATCGCACATGGGCTTTTCGACAGGAGAGGAGTGACGCTCCGTGTTCACATGTGAGTTGAAATTAGAAGATAAATGCCTAGCAAAGCATGTTGGGGGAGGGCGAAGAATCAGGGGATTGAAAACTAGGGGATATAAGTGAAGTTGGAACGGGACGGTAAGAGTGAAAAAGCGTAAGAGGTGGAATAAGAAGACGGGGAGGCTTGAGCAGTAGCATCCCAACCCCTATCCACCCTGCTCGATGCAGCAGATAGGTCACCGTTGATTATCCTCTGCGGTGGCCAGAGCATCAGCAATTTGTTTGAGATAAGATTCATGGTGTTGCGTGGGCAGGATACTGTCAGGTTACCAAGGCCTAGACAGGAGAACGATTAGGGTTCTCAACCAAAGCCTTTGGTTCAAAACCTGACCGCAAGGCAGCGGGTTTGGCGTTGGGCTACAAAGAGCCCGTTTTAAGGAATAAGGAGCCACCCTCATTCCAACTCCCAACCTGGAGGACCAGGTGGCTGAGTTTGTCTGGCCTCTAACCATTGACCAATCTGGTATGAGTGTCTCTAAAGGTGCAAAATCACCACCCAGTACAGCTCAATGGATCACTGAGGCACACAAACCATCGCACCACGGTAAGGTCCAGTCTCATTGCGATGCTGGTACGTCGATACTAGTTCTTCATTACATAAGTGATTTTCGTAGGCATTTTTCGCTCTCTTGTACCCATTTAGAGCCAATTACCGGATCACTACACGCTTGTTTAGCTCTGGCCTACGGTATCATATTTTTATCAGTGAGTCATCTCCTTTCGGTCGCGGTAGCTACGGCGAATGAGAGAACAGTCGAAGAGTCGGCGGGAAAGCATCCAATCCGATAACTGACTGGCCAAACTGGATTCGACAATGCGCAACTTCTTCTGGAGCAGGGAAAAGGTGACTGGCCAATACATCAACAGCAGTCAAGAGGCATCCGTTCATTAGAACTTGACATAAGGAACAGTGCTGAACCAAAATATGGGTCATCCACAAACTGCATCAGCTGCTGATCATCACAACATGATGAATTATGGTTCTTTTGTGATTAGGAAATTTCGATTGACCCTAAGCACTTGCTCTGCTCTGGTGTTCCACCATAGAATAGCCATATACCTGTCTATTTTCCCAAACTAAATGATCCGTTTCGATAAAACTTGTCGCTAACCCTCAACATGTTTTTCTTCCGCAATTACAACCTCTAGCTTGTCCATCATGCCCAAACGGCCAAGTGTGCGATCAGGTCACCGGAAAATGCATTTGTCCACCCAACACGAGAGGTGATCGGTGCGAGGCTTGTTCGACCGGATCGTGGGATTATAATCCAGTCTTGGGATGCAAGGTAAGTCTTAAGCGTGACCAATCCGTAGCTCCTTCCTACCCGAGGCCTGAGTCGTATCCTATCGTGTTTTCGGTTTGTTGTTCCTGCTACCACCAGTCCTTCATTTCGATAGTCGATGGAACACAGGTCACTGATTCTCTCCTTACTCGACCACCACTCCATCCGGTGAGTGGGTGTATCCGTCCCCTGCTTTCTTTGGCATGCTGACTGTAACCAAACCCGGGATGGAGAATGAGACAGCTCTATTCACACGCCCCTTATCCAATGTAAGATCGAAGGGTTTGGATTCCGGGTGTTCGAATAAGAACCACTTCCGATTAGAAGCGAGCCCGCACTTATGCAACACAGATACCCGCATGTACACCGTAGGTGTAAGGCTTAAGGCGACTTGCGTACCTAATGAAAACAGGGCGGTGATTGAGCGTAACCCGCTACACGTAGGAACCAATGTTTGAGCTGGTCATTGTCGTGAATTCTGTTCACTCCGCTTTCACTCACAGCGATCAGCAGTCGGCTGAGTGCATATGTCTGCGGCAGCGTTGTGCAGGTAGCGGCTCCTCAACGATAATTTGGAACTCAGCCAAACTTCCCTCGTCAATCTGGAATCGACATCAACAACACGAAAACAGAGGTCAATCATCTAACTATATGAACAACCATTTTATACGAATTAAGAAGCATCGCTTTACAAACCCTGTTGAGTGGTCTGCTGGGTTAGTGAAAATCGTTAATGAAGAAGGCAGTTAGTAGTTTTGCTGTCAAAATAATGGACTTATCGTTATGATTAAGTAACCCTGCACTCGGAGCGTTTCCATAGCTTCAGTAGGCAAAAAAGTAACTCCAAGATATTTCCCAGAAGTAGCATGGTGTGTAGCGTCAAATAACAACATGTAAGTGGCGGAGTACGTCATCCAACCGATTTTTAAATATGGCTAGCGTGGATGCTGAAACAACAGCTTCGGGGAGACGGTTCCTTGGAAAAGAAGTTTCTATGGCAAGCCAGACGGCTGTATTGTTCTGCCAACTTAAAGGAGTGCCCTCTAAGCTTAGGGTTACTGCTGAGCTGAAGTCAATAGCGGCACACATGATTCGGGTTGTGTACAATCAAATACGTCATCATCAAGTCGCCTCGTCGTCGGCGATACCGCCCGCTGAATACTCGCAAACGTTTCAGCCTCTGCTCGTACGGAATGTGGTGCATTCGAATGACGTACTTACAAGCCCGACGTTGTTGTTGATCCAATGCAGTAAGGTCGTGCTTCAGCGATGGTTGCCAGGCTTGGATTGCCTATTTGACATGGTGACAGACATACTCATCCAGCATCTGTTTGAAAATAGTGGTGTTTAGTTGTCCGAACGCCCGTCGTGGGAATCCGACGTGCTGGTTATCAGTTTTCGAAGCCTTCGTGGATTGCTTGGAACAAATCAAGTTATCCTGAATAAGGACGCCAAGATCCCGTTCGACGGATGAGCGCTGTAATACTTGTGTTCCTAGCTTGTTCTAATAGGTACTCAGCAGTCTTATGGAGAGTACCTTGCATTTGTCCACGTTGAACTGTAACAGATTTCAGGTTGACCAATCATGTACTGTATCTAGGTCCCACTGAAGGAAATTGTGATGAGGTATCTGCTTGAATCCGGCGCCATATCTTGATATCGTCAATAAAAGCAGCAAATTTAAAGCGATATTCTATGCAAGGTCAATGATGAATACCAATAACAACCGTGAACCCAGAGCTGAGCACTGGGGCACACCAGACTCGACTGGGATGGGTTCAGATAGGGAACTCCGGACTCTTACCACTAATTGTCGTTACAGGAGAAAGTTAGCGATCCAGTTAAAGATAATGTCACCGATCCCATACTATTGGGGCTTGAAAAGGAGAACCCGCTGATCTGAACGATCAAACATCTTCGACAAATCCAAGTAGATCGCACTAATGACCTCTCCAGCATCATCTGACTCGGTCCAACTAGGTCGCGCGAATAATAACTTCGTCATACATGATCGCTGTCGACAAAAGGTGTGTTACTTGAGAGCGATAATGTTACCATTTTCTAGATAACACAGCAACGCATCGGCGGTAGTAGATTTCATGACCTTGGATAATACAGGGAGAAGGGACATTGAGCGGTAGTTTGAGGGCTCAGTTCTGCTTCCGCCTTTGCGAATCAGCTTTGTTATTCCGAGTGTCCAAATCGCAGGAATCTGGTCCTGGTCTAAGTAGCGCTGGAAGAATTGTGCCAAAGGTTTTACCAGTTATCTTGCTGTTGCTCCCAGTTCCTCTGGGTGAATGGTGTCGACTACCAGGGAGCTCTAGTTGTGCAGAGACGTCAGCTTCCGCACGAGAGCTTCGGCAGTAAAAGAGATGTGGGTGAGTATTGGGGGCGGGGAAACAAACATGGGAGGATGACCTGATGGTATGTCCTTCTGAATTGTGGGAGCATATTGCGTCCGCAACGCGTTTGCTGATTCTATGACAGTTCTAGTCGGACAATCAGTCGTCCAGAGAGGAGGAATTCTTCGCCTCACCTCACAACGTCCATTAACATACGTCTGCAGCAGTTTGTGGCTAGCGCTGAAGGTTTTCGCCATATTCTGCTGATATGCGACTTTGTCATCTCTGAGCAGTTTAGTGCAGTGTTTACGATGGGCTACGTAGTTGTCCCAATTATCTGGCGTTGGTAATGATCTATACTCTTGCCAACCTGCGTTGTATGTCGTCATCCATTTGCTAGTTTTACTCCTCAAGAAAGAAACTGTTTTGGGCCCATTGGTATCGCTTGTCTCTGAGGCATCCGTAACCAGTTGATTGAGTTTGCTGACGAATTCAAGCCAAGCGACTTTCGGTTGGCTTTCAGTGAGGAAGGACCAGGTTGTGGCGCTGACGAGCTGACTTAAGTGGTCGTGTCGCGTAATGGTTGCGTGCTGGTTGCGATATTCCGCATAGCAGATGAAGTCGAAACTGATGAGTGCATGATCACTGCGACCCAAAGGCATTTTACGATCAATGCATCAATCACATGTTCCTCGTTGGTGGAAGCAAGATCCAGCAAAGAAGGTCTATTGCCTGTTCTTAAACGAGTAGGCATAATGACGTGAGTGTAAAGTGGAATACTGGTTATATGCTCTTGCAGATCTGCTTTGAATAGCTCTCCGATTGTAGCAGGAGTTTCCAAACGGTGTACATTGGAATCACTCATGAGAAGGACGTGAGTGTGCTTTCGCTTTAGGCTGCATCTTAAAGTTGTCGCAAGTTGGCAGTCCGTTTCCGGTGTAGAGTTTGGGGGGCGGTATACCAAAGCTATAATGCAGGTGTCTCTGCCATGTAATTGCAGTCGGCACCAAAGAGAATCGGCGGATCGTAAGTCTGAATTCTTAACGACCCCCCACCGTAGATCGCTTTGGTGATGCAGAATTACCCCTCCTCCTTTCGTAAGGTTATCGTTTCGTATGAGTGACATGCCCGGCAGCGAGACTTCAGCATCTGTCATCCCAATGTGCAATCATGCCTCCATAACACCGATAATATCGCATGGCTTGGAAATTCGGTGATGCATCAGTTTGGCCGGCTTATTAACAAATGGCTTTGAGCATTTGTATAAAGACAGGAGAGTTTTTCGGTCTCTAAGAGTGCACAGGGAGTTAATGGAGTCAAGTGTGGTAGAATGTCCACCGATGCACACATACGTGACGTGAGCAACATATGACCCAAATGTCAGCCGCAGCCAGCGTTTAAACTTAATATATTCGTACATTTTTCCTTTGTTTGATTACGAAATCTTTTGTTTGATAATCAGGACGTTCATTGTTAATTTCTTCCTGGTCGCATAAATGCGCCTACGCGAAAAGTTGCGGGCTACTGGCTTAACACGCCGGTAAACTGAACCCCATTCCACTACATGGCCACTTGTAGACTCCCACATCTCTGGTATCAACCTCATTCCACTTTATCAGAATATCACACTTGAATGTCTAAACAATGTGAAACAAGAATCCTTTGACTGTTTGCAGGAATGTAACTGCTCAGAGGTTGGTGCAGTGCTCGGATTGGCTGCCACATGTGATCTGGTCACGGGCCAGTGTGTCTGTCAAAAGGGCTACGCTGGAAGAGCTTGTGATCAGTGCACCGTTGGCTATTATGGCTACCCGGATTGCAAGCAGTGCGAGTGTGATGCTCGAGGGGTTCTACCTCCGAACACCACAGCGGCTGTAGCTACTGCTGTATGCAAACCGACGGACGGAAGTTGTTTCTGCAAGCCCAATGTACAGGTGAGCGGACAGTTAGATGATCAAATGTTTTTGCCATTGATTTTTATTCTTGACAGAATAATAATTATCACCTTGGTCCTTACTGTTGTGTTGCCGATGATTGTTCACGCCTCCACGATCGCAAGTAGAATACGAAGATGTGCCAGGATCGAGCTGGATACATGAGAACACTGCTTCCTTATATAGGGTATAATCGTATATGATGCAAAGCTACTAAAGCACTTTGGAGCCAATCAACATTATGGGAAACAACGAAGAATAGGAGCGAATGAGAGATCGTAAAAGAAAGAACCAATCAGGCGAGTTCGAGGAAATGGTATTAGTGAAAACAGACCTTTTAGATAGCATCATTTATGAACGACGTAGACCAGCCAAACGAAGCAATGGAATAATGCGTTTAAACAATTGTCAAATAACAAACGATGACGAAACGAAAGCAGGCGACCAAGAATTGTAGCAAAACATGTGTCCATTGTGCATCTCCCTGTAGCGCAATGGTCTTAATCACAGGCAGTAACAATCGAGTTGCGGGTTCAAGCACCCCATGGCTCAAATGGAATGTGTACTGGTAATGATTTCCATTGGGATGAAACGGCCGTACACTGCGTTTTCAGGCGTGTGATGAATGTCTGACTGAGCCTAGATTTGGTGAATCTCTACTTATACCACCAAATGCTACTTATCAGTTGACTAAGTGACAGTAGGTGACATTAAATGGTTTCCACGGAATTTTCCGCAAGTAACCATTAAGATCAACGAAGTGGATAGCCATTTTGTTAAATCTGAGCTCATCAGTAATTCGTTTTCCTCCGGTTCGATGAGGCAATCGAAGGTGCGTTCCCATCATACCAAACAAAACGGTTGTGTTGGCCCCGTGACTGTTTCCATCCACTTATCGTGGTTGCAGCATAATTGAACAGGAACAGAAACCAATGTTATTTTCATAGGAAATGCCTATGTTACTATAGCAAAAAAGCTAACGGACGTGCAGTGGTCTAAATCGACCAAAACACTGGAAACGTGCGACACGACAATGCCAATAAGGAGTGGACAAGTTACAAACCAATCGGATGCGCACAACGGGAGCTAAGTAGGAATGCAGTCCATCGTCGGGAAAAACAACTAGCCAATTGGGCTAGCAAAGGGATAAGTTAAAACAACCATCAGTGAATAAGCGCGGCGAAAGGGTAGTCTGCAGTTATGTATGTTTGCCCAGCCCACCAGAATTTTCAGCACACCGCTGTAAGGAACTTAACCTTGCTGGTAGTGGTGGTTACGGGCATGATTGCATGACAGATTACGATATACTGCAGCCCAGTCACTAGCGCCTTTCATGTTACATCTCTGCACTAGGTAGGGTGACCATCGCCGGGCAACGTCCGCCTAACTGGTTTCGAGTCCCATCTGAGTAGGGCAGCTGCGCGCTGCTCTCGAGTCCCCAAACGATGTATATCATTCATACCACCTGATTCCACGCTTTTGTCTCCATCCCTAACCTGATGCATCTTAGCTGGTCTCCGCCATGCATCCGTGTGAGTTTGTGCTTCGCTTCTCCTGATCCCTAGTCGTGTCAAGCTCCACATAAAACCCCATGCATGGAGGTGATGCACCCGGGAAAAGTGTCGTACTACCGCTATCCAGTTACCACCTTGCATGATTAAAACACTTACATCCGTTGGTACATCCTAAATTGGTGAAGGCTGTAACATGCCGCTAATAGTTTGCTAAAATAGATAGTTTGCACTTCAAGTATTGTGAGTGGTTGGGTGCGTACGGATGTGTGACCACGACTATGCGGTACGGTGAAGTTTAATCCTGTTCCTACTTACAGTCATGCATGTATTCTTTCTGTCGTGGAACGCCCTCCGAGAATTAAAAACAAGAACGGGGCTGCGACCACAATCTAGTTGAATCAGAAGGTAACGCACCATTTATAGGGTAACCAACGCTTCGTACTGCAACTCCGATTTGCTCTGACTTGATTGGCTGCGTCTGGCGGAAACCCACCCTATTCACCAATGGAGCCAGGTGGTCATGCAAGCGACTTGCGCTCACGCGTGCATGCACTACTGCTGCACTGGCAGCGGACAGCCGATCGCGCGGCATCACGTCTGTCCGTTCCGAGTGCCTGAGCAAATACAAACAGCTACCATTAGACACAGGAGTCTTGTCGCTTTTACTTATTACTCGGGGACCAAGGGTCACGTGTTCGGGTGAGAGGAGAGCGCACTAAATTGCCAATTGTCCAATAGTAGATGTTAGTCTCTCAAAATGTCGCTCAACCGATCACATGGGTTGAACGACCGGAGTGATGGCCGTATGCTTGCATTTGGGTACAGGTTTACTTGCCAGTCTCGTCCATCGTGCAAACGCTGGATGGGCGCGGATCGTTGAGTTGAAGTCAACCTACAGGGCTAGTTCACCGATCGATACATACCGTGTTTCGGGGTAGCTGGGACGAAGACAAGCGTATGCAATCAAGACCGCAGTACATCTGTGCCGGCCTTGTAGGACTGGTAAATATTAGTCCGGGACGATCCGCGAAATTAAGCGCGGATTTCAGAAAGCAATTGGAATCGGACACGGCGGACTGTATTCGTTGGGCTACAATAAGAGGCGGAGAGATAAATGGAAACAAGAGCAACACTTAGGCGCGGGAACTTACAAAACGGTCAAGTGTCGAGCCGGATGTAGGTCAACATGGACGTAACATAAGGGCGATTAAAACAAGAAAGAATAGTGTATAATTGGTCATCAGCGAAAGTATACACAAAGATAATAGTTATTTGTTGGAGCGCTACAGGCTGCTGCGGTAGAATTGTGCTGGTACTTGGACAGGCCCAACTGGCCTGAGCAAGGAGCGTTCAATAGGTGTTTATAGTTATCCCAGCTAATGACAAAAGGGTTATTGGCAACGTTCTTGTAGACTGACAGTTAGCTTCCAAAAGAGGCAAAAGAGGCTACGCGGTTTCGTATTTTTATCGTGTTCATCGGCGTACAGACTCTGGCGTGGAATGAGTACTTCTAAACAATAACCTACCGGTCACATAAAGGGGAAGAAAGCTGGGCCCAGGATTTTTCTGTAATAATACAGAGCGTGAAAGTGTGGCCTATCGATATTTTTGACTTTGATATTCGACTTTTGCAGCAATATGTGTCAGGAAAGTTACTACATGGATAACTGGCTTGTGGTGGGCACTATATGTGAAAACCCACATGCGTGTGCTGTGGCCCCACAATTTGTCGATCAGTTTTGCGAGCCAATGAGCTTCGCGCTTTGTGGAATACATGAATCTCAGTAACCTTGAGGATTAGATATTACCTAAAAATACAGCTTCTCAATTCCATGCTAACGGAATATTGCCTCGTCAACGAATATGTGGGGATGAACGCTCATGTGCGGCAGTGGAAACAATTTTCGGTCCCGTCACGGTCACTCTGAAACAAATTGAGCAGCGTAACCCCACTTGTTTCCTGCAATTGTGGTCAACACTGTGACGGGAGAATAGGCTTTGCGGCAGCGAGTAATCTTTAGGCGGCATAGCTTTTTAAGACTTCTTTCTCCAAACGTTACATTTCATATGTGCAAGGCCTAATTGAAAGGAATGCCTCTTTTGCTAAGGTGGGTTGTTGGAAGCTAGCTTTCAGTCTACAAGAGTGTTGCCAATAACCCTTTTGCCATTAGCTGGGATAACACTAAGCACCTACTGAACACTCCTTGCTGAAGCCAATTAGGTCTGTGCAAGCGCCACCACAATTTTACCGCCGTAGCCCGGTACAGATGCACTGCTGTCTTGGCTTCACAAGCCTGTCTTCATTCCAGCCAGCCCGAAACACAGTATGTATCGAGCAGTGAACTAGCCCTGTGGCGTGCTGTAGGTTGACTTCAGTTCAGCGATCCGCGCCCATCCAGCGTTTTCACGATGGACGAGACTGGCAAGTAAACCTGTACCCAAATGCAAGCATACGGCCATCACTCCGGTCGTTCAACCTATGTGACCGGGTGAGCGACATTTTGAGAGACTAACATCTACTATTGGGCAATTGGCAATTTAGTGCGTTCTCCTCTCACCCGAAGACATGAGTCTTGGTGCCCGAGTAACAGAGTAAAAAGAGACAAGACTTCTGGGACAACTGTACAATGCTTTTACCTATCTCCGACTTTTTTAGTTTGGGCTTTTTCGGTGTTGAAATTCCTTCCGCCCTTCCGCTGTGTGACCACTTTCTGTCTTCTCCGTCACCCCTTCTTTCCTGCTGGCTTTTTTTGCTCCCTCGTCGTCGCACTCCTGATCCGAGGTCGTCTCACGCGGATGCGGTTTCGCCGATACACACCGTTTCCCACCTTGACCACTTAACTTCTTTCTCCTAGCGGCGTTGCTTCCACTCCTCTCCTCCACTGTTTTACTGTTGCAGGCGCCAGTTGCATCCATACCACATCACCAACCTGAATGGGCTGTAACTCTCTAGAACCGCGATTTTAAGCCCGTCTCTGTCTGAGCGTTCGTTTTTCCAATCGGTCCTGAACTATCATCGGGGGTTTTGCTTCCCGTTGGACCAGGATTTTGGTTACGGGCACCAGAGTTCTCGTTCTGCGACTAAATAAACTTTGAAGAGAGCTTACCCCGATTTACGGAGTCGGGGTGTTTCTTCGTTCCAGAAGCAAGCTATACGGATAGTCCTTCAGTTATTTAGCTTTGGTTAATATTCTCTTTGCATACTTTACCGCTACTTTAGCCTTTCCATTCGACTGGCTATGGTATGGGCTGGTTAGGCGATAATCAAATTCCCACTGCTTACTGAAAGCTCGGAACTCCTCAGCAGTAAACTGCGGTCCGTTGTCTGATACTACTTTTTCAGGAATTCCATGCCGGGCAAAATGACCGCGCAGCGTGTTTATTACCGCATGAGCACTAATCGAGCGCATTGCATCAATCTCAAAATAGTCACTGAAGTAATCTACCGTGATTAGCTAATCCTTTCCATCGTGCGTGAACAGGTCA